CTACGACTGATAAAGATGCGCAATTTCAATATTCAAATGCTGTCGACCCGACCAGTGGTTCTCAAGTAGCTTTGCTCAGATTTTACTTTGGACATTAATTGGTTCAGTATATATATGCACACACACACTCACTCACTCACACACACATACACCCTCCAGCTGAAAACCACTGGACTAATTCTGACTATATTTAAAACATTTATTGAGGCATTTGGATAATGAGAGCTTTCTCATTTTTTGATTATTTTTTCCAGTTTGGCCAACAGTTTTTGCAAGATATAATCAATATCGGAAGTCTTTAGATAAGTCTTTCTTAACACACACTCAACCGGGCTCTTGCATTTACTGCAAAATCTTACTTGACAAATCAGAATATATTCTCCCAGCATGCCGTATGTAACACACTGCAGAGGTAATGAAAATCACAAATCAGGCTGAGCGTCAGGGCTGTTGCAGAAGAGGCGTGTGTGTGTGTGTGTGTGTGTGTGTGTGTGTGTATGACGGATGGAGCCTGCGCTAGAGCTGTTTGAAGATTTAACGTCGCATAGGTTCTGAACTTCTGACAGGAAGCTTGAAGTGATGCGTTCATTTAATTTTCTTTTTTTTAAATCTGAAATTAGATTTTAAATGAATTTTAAAACAGAAAAGTGGCATCAAGAATGGTCTCAGACTTTTGGGACCTCATCAAAAAGTTATGTAGTTAAAAACTAGCAATAGAGTAAACTTTATTTAACAAGAGATAACACAAAATGTCCTACCGATGCCTTGTGAGATATCTAGAGGAACATATTTTGTTCTGGTGCCTAGATTTTCAAGACATGGTGTTCAGACTGTCACAAAGGAAGTAGGCAATTTCTCACCAAAGTGCTTCCTCAGCATTTGAGGGACGTTTGGCACCATAGTACACACTTCAACCGTGAGAAGTCATCTTATAAGAAGCCTTACAGGGTGTGTTGCAGCTGAGAAAGCGGTCTTGCGGAAAGGCAACAAGCAGAAAAGATTACTGTACATGAAATTCCATAAAGCATGGAATGACAACCAGTGGCAGAATGATTCAGAAGTGGGTGGGATGAGAAGTTTGCAGTCTCCTGGAAGACGAGGTTGTGGCTCGGGCACAGTCAGGGTCATTGTGGGTAATGATGTGGGGATCAGGTCAAAACTGATGGAACAAATACTTCAAACACTACAAATGTAACACTTACAAAGACTTGACCTCAAAATAAAAGCTATGTGGGATCAATTTCACTAACAGAAATCCTGGAAATGTTAGGGAACTTGGGGTTGCCAGGCCTGGAAAAGTCATGGAAATAATTGTAACTAGTTATGAAGAAGGAATTTTGTTTCTTTGCGATAAATCACTCTTTTGTGCCATTTATTATGATGGAAATTATGATTGAAAATTAACATTGTGTATATAATATGATCTATGATCTATAATATGATATGGTTTTAAGTGTTATTTTAGTATTATTTATATACTGTTATAGTATTTATTAATATTTTGAATTTGCATATATATATATATATATATATATATATTCAGTTTTCTAGTTTTAGTGCTTTTCTCATTTTTATTTTTATTTCTTTTATATTCTTTTTAAATGTATTTTTATTTGAATTTTAGTATTTTTTACTTCAACTTTATTTTATTTCAATTAGTTTCCAAGTCAATATTTCCAATTTAATTTAGTTTTTTTTTTCTATTTTTGTATTTTTTTTTTTCATTTTGGCTAATATTTTACCTAGTTTTTCATCTAATATTTATATTATATTTCATTTAAGCCTTATTTCCGTTAACAAAGACAATTTTTAATAGTTTGA